AAAAAGTGGCTCATATTTCATGCCATATCAGTCATTTAGAATTCATAACAGTCATACGTGGTACATCCAATAGCAAAACAGTACAGTAGGTCTTAATAGACCGAACAGTCGGTTGATAGCCATCAAAACAGTAAACAGTAGTAGTTCCAAACATTGAAACTAACAGAGATCTCTGTAACAGTAGCAGTAACAGTAACAATAAGTTACTATGGGTGCCACGAGTACAGTTTACAAATAGGACAAACATTCATTCCGCAAACAATATCATTTCAGAAAGTAATACAGTCAATTGTTTAGAAATAATTATAATTGAACGTATCTTTACAACATTGTTACTCACAGAGTACTAGGTTACAGACAGGCTAGTCAGCGTCCTCGGGTGCCAACCCTACACAGTTGCAGAACGAACACACACTAAGTTACACGCTTGGGATTAACGACTTAGCCCCTAATTGGCTTGGTGTGGTTCTACAACAATATCCTCATTAAGATGCCTTAAACATGGCCTAGGAATGCCTAGGATGGAATAAGGATGCAAAAATGACTCCGGTCTGGTGCCTGGACACCTACATACATATATAAACAATGAGTTAAAGCCCAGCGAATAACGAATGCGTAAAGGGGTTAAGAATGAATGTCCTTTCATTAATTAAAATAGTCATTTGCATCAGTAAATCAGTTATTCAAAAAGTGGCTCATATTTCATGCCATATCAGTCATTTAGAATTCATAACAGTCATACATGGCACATCCAATAGCAAAACAGTACAGTAGGTCTTAATAGACCGAACAGTCGGTTGATGGCCATCAAAACAGTAAACAGTAGTAGTTCCAAACATTGAAACTAACAGAGATCTCTGTAACAGTAGCAGTAACAGTAACAATAAGTTACTATGGGTGCCACGAGTACAGTTTACAAATAGGACAAACATTCATTCCGCAAACAATATCATTTCAGAAAGTAATACAGTCAATTGTTTAGAAATAATTATAATTGAACGTATCTTTACAACATTGTTACTCACAGAGTACTAGGTTACAGACAGGCTAGTCAGCGTCCTCGGGTGCCAACCCTACACAGTTGCAGAACGAACACACACTAAGTTACACGCTTGGGATTAACGACTTAGCCCCTAATTGGCTTGGTGTGGTTCTACAACAATATCCTCATTAAGATGCCTTAAACATGGCCTAGGAATGCCTAGGATGGAATAAGGATGCAAAAATGAACTTTAAAACACTTTTCAAATTTTGCTGAAAACAGGGGTCTTGCTTGAGCGTGGCTTTCTACGCTCGAGCGGACATGCAGACAAAGAAGCTCCGCTCGAGCATGACTTCCCTCGCTCGAGCGGACTGCAAACTCATGAAAAAGTGCTGGTTGCACGTTTTTCACGCTCGATAGACGCTCGACCCACGATTGAGCGTGAGACTCAGACCCTCACTCGAGCGCATATTACCTCGCTCGAGCGGACTGCAAATCACATGAACTTCTGGGCATATGCATTTCACGCTCGAGCGTGACTATCTACGCTCGAGCGGAAGTGCATGTACTCAGAGTGTACGCTCAAGCGTGAAGTCCTCTGCTCGAGCGTAGATCAAAAATCTAGAATTTCTAGATTGATCTACAAGTACAAAACTCAACCTTTAAAGCTTTAAACTTGATTCTTTTGGGCTAATTTTCTGGAAAACACTTAGAAACCCATAATACAACATGTTTCAAAGATCATTTTATAAAATTAAGCCCAAAGGTTTGCCAATTGAACACTAATTTCAAAGAAACTTTCATGAACTATGTAAGAACATAACATACATGAGTTCTTATGAACTTCAATGCTCCAAAACATGGTCAAATGCAAGATTGAGCTCAAAATCATGGTGGATTCATGGACCACAACTAAAATGTGAACATGCATGTGAGGATTTCATGAAAACAACCTCAAAATTTTATGATATGGACATGCATGCGCGAAATCACTCTCAAAACAACACTTTAAATTAATTCTTGACTCAAATCACTAATTTATCATGAACCATGCATGTGACAACTCAAATTCATAATTAAGAGGGTGAATTTCCTACCTTAGGTCTTGAATTCCAAGTATGTTGGCTCAATTTTGCAAATCCTCTTCAATTCTTCTAATTCTCCAAGTTAATCTCTAGATGAAACAATTTTCTCCTACTCTCCCTCTCTCTCACGGTTTGGCCTAGAAAGTGGCTGAAGAATGGTGTATCAAAATGTATGAATTAAGCCTCAAAGATGCTATTGAAAGTGGCCCACTAATGGCAATCATTCACATGAACTTCTGGGCATATGCGTTTCACGCTAGAGCGTGACTATCTACGCTCGAACAGAAGTGCATGTACTCAGAGTGTACGCTCGAGCGTGAAGTCCTCCGCTCTAGCGTGGATCAAAAATCTGGAATTTCCAGATTGATCTACAAGCACAAAACTCAACATTTAAAGCTTCAAACTCGATTCTTTTGGGCTAATTTTCTGGAAAACACTTAGAAACCCATAATACAACATGTTTCAAAGATCATTTTATAAAATTAAGCCCAAAGGTTTGCCAATTGAACACTAATTTCAAAGAAACTTTCATGAACTATGTAAGAACATAACATACATGAGTTCTTATGAACTCCAATGCTCCAAAACATGGTCAAATGCAAGATTGAGCTCAAAATCATGGTGGATTCATGGACCACAACTAAAATGTGAACATGCATGTGAGGATTTCATGAAAACAACCTCAAAATTTTATGATATGGACATGCATGCGCGAAATCACTCTCAAAACAACACTTTAAATTAATTCTTGACTCAAATCACTAATTTATCATGAACCATGCATGTGACAACTCAAATTCATAATTAAGAAGGTGAATTTCCTACCTTAGGTCTTGAATTCCAAGTATGTTGGCTCAATTTTGCAAATCCTCTTCAATTCCTCTAATTCTCCAAGTTAATCTCTAGATGAAACAATTTTCTCCTACTCTCTCTCTCTCTCTCTCTCTCTCTCGGCCTAGAAAGTGGCTGAAGAATGGTGTATCAAAATGTATGAATTAAGCCTGAAAGATGCTATTGAAAGTGGCCCACTAATGGCAATCATGTAAATAACCCTAGTTAAAGTAATTTAACATTATTTATTCTAATTCAATCATTCCAAATCAAATTTTAATTAAACCTATCATAAAATCATGTAAATCCTAATTAGCATATAATACTAATCAATTTCTGGTTCGGTCGATAAGGCCTTCAATTTGCAATTCGAAGTCAAAACATGAACATATCATTAAATGACAAACGGATAGAAATGCAATTAAAGCACCACACTCATACAAACATATTAGAATTTCATTCTAATCAATTACTTATCATGCTCAATCACAGTTTAACACTAATCAAAGGTGAGGGTTGTCACACCTCCAGCACTCTCAGTGGGTGCTGATTGGCTGAATTTTTTTTTTTTCTTTCACCAATGACCAACCCCCACATGTGTGTGGGGGGTGAAATGGGGGTCTCAATCAGATTTCATCACATAATAAATACCACAGCCAATATGCAAAAATTACTATTTTATTATATTTCTTACTTCAATTTTTGTTTACTTTAATTTTAATTTTGTTCACTTAATAAATAAATTTTGCATTGCTCTCCCAATATGTCAATATCAACTACACTACAATCACAACTATTGTTGTTGTTATTTGTTGCAATTTATTATAAATTAAAAGCACCTCTCACATAATTTTTAAAAATTAATTTTTTTCAACTTATTAAAATTATTTTTGCTTATAAGAAACAAATAGAAGTTGTGTCAATAATCTATCACATACTCTCACAATACAAAAATCATAAACAACTTAGATAAATTTCGCCAAACAGACACACGGTAGGGGAGTAATACTCTATAGTGTTACTATATTTTTTATCAATGGGGAAATAATATTTTGTAACTTTTGCTTTGAATTTTGTAGCCATTGTTTTATAATTTTACAAATCAAAGTTTATCAAAAGATACATTACATAACAGATCTCAAGTATGTGTGTGGCCTCATTTCCATAGCAAGTTCGGAGCCCATTAGTGTGCTTTGTTGATAGAGCAATGTGCTGATGATATTGGGAGAAATAAATGGAAGTCCTTTACTGAGATGTGCAAAAGGGCAAAAAAAAAAGTACCACCACTTTTACTTTACACCAATCTACTTAGATCAATTCACATGGGCCTCACTCTTTTATTTTCTGCAAAAAAATAAAAAAACCTGTTAAGCATGGTGTGTTTACTTTGTATACCCCAATAAATTTACAATGCGAAAGTGCTTGATAGATAATTAACAATATAAAAGTCCAATAATAATACAATAATCACAACCTCAACCCACATAAAATAAATATTAAAAAAAATATCACAATAAAAAGGAAAGAATGAAATCAAGAAAAAACCCATTAGAAGAAATATAATTAATATGTATCGGTAATAAAAAAAATAAAACCTTACTAAAAAGTTTCTTTAGGACACAAAAAAACATTTCCCACTAATTTTAAAATATTTTTTATTTTTAAAATTTTTTATTATATTTTCAAAAGCACTTTTTACATAAATTATAATATTAAACAATACCCAATAACAATTATTATTATCATTTGCCTAATAAAAATCAACTTTTGTAACCTCTTAATTACGATTACTTGGGCTTGGTTAAATAGTTGTATTTACTTTTGTTGAAGAAAAAAAAAATAAAGTGAAATAATGAGACAATAAAAAGTTGAACAATGAAAAGGTTCACAACTGCAAAGGACAGCCAGTTAAAGAGCAGAGAGAGAAAGTCAAGAGAGAGAGTCACATCAGTTTGATGAAATCTTAATCAGCTCCTTCACCTTTTTCCCCAAACGAGTCCACACATAACGGCTCAGCAGTAAATATAGCCGTTATCCCCTTAGCTATACCCTGCCCTTTCCTCTCACTGACTTCAAAATCCACCCACCTTTCCTCTCATATAAAAACGACCCAAACTCCAAACCCAAACCCAAAAACAATCACTTCTCTCACTCCTTTTCCCCCAAAGCACACAGTACTTCACGGATATTCACCACAATGGTTAAATCAACAGCAACAGTAGCAGCAGCTTTCCCTCTTTTTCTCCTCCTCTTGTCCTCCATTTCAGGTACCCATTTCAGTACCTGAAAAAAGGTGCTTCTGTAATTACTGCATTTGCACTGTTGTTTTTTCATGTACTTTGATTGGTTAATTATCAATGTAATTTTCTTGTTCAACTATCATTGTCATGCTTTTTGATCTTTAGTTCTGAATTGGGTTTTCTGAAATTCACTTTTTCTAAACATCCAATTAGTGTAATTTGCTTTCAATCTAAAATAAAAAATTAGTGTAATTTGCTTTAAAAGGGTCTGGTTTTCTTACTTCTTAATTGGGCTCCCTTTCCTTCAATTGCTAACTTTCATAGTTTCCACGAGTTCGAGAAGGGCCCCCGGGCCCATAATAGGCCGAACAGCAATCTTCAATCCAACTCTTCCCTTTAAACTATACTTGAATAGCAATCCTGATTTTCTATCAGTTTGTTTAATCTTGAACTATAATTTTGTATGTTTTTTATGTTTAGATATCATTGATCAGTTTTTTTATATATGTATTTTTTCTCATTTCTTTTCCAACACAACTAATTGACCGCCTTACAATTTTTTGCAGTTGGAACTCTAAAATTGGTGAATGGACAGGTACTTTTTCAAATTCCTCAAATTAGACTCCCCTGCTCTAGCAAAAAGTATAAAGAATGTGATTAGATCTATATGATTTTGCCTAAATTTTTCAAATTGAATTGCAGAAAACTTGGTGTGTAGCGAAGCCATCTTCCAGCGACTCAACTCTTTTGGAGAACATCAATTATGCGTGCTCTCAAGTCGACTGCAGAATTCTGCGAAAAGGTTGCCCCTGCTTCTCCCCAGACAATCTGATCAACCATGCTTCCATAGTAATGAATCTCTACTATCAGTGTAAGGGAAGGAACAAATGGAACTGTGATTTCAAGAACTCTGCTCTCATCACCATGACTGATCCAAGTAAGTCACACACAGTAATTTTACAACTCACATTATTGTGCTATTATTTGCAGTTTGTAGTACTTTCTATGTACTAAAATAACTTCTCTTCTTTCTTTTTTTTTCTTTTTTTCCTTTTTTTTTTTTTCAGGTTATGGAAACTGTGTGTATGAGTAGTGATTTGTGAAAGATGTATGTGTGATTCCAAAGGCCTGTGGTGCATTTTTAGTTTTTTTTTCCTAATATATAGCTTGTAATTTTGGACCTCATGCCAATTTTTGTGGGTTATAAGTTTATTGCTGCAGCGCGACAGAGCAAAATTGCAATTTATCCAAATTCTTAGTTGTGTTTGGATAAATAATTTGAGTCGGAATTTGTGGAGACGAATGAAGAAGATGGGGAAAACTGACTGCAATACTAGCTAAATTTTGTACACTTTTTTTCCTTTCCTTTTATTTTTCTTTCATAATTCCCTCATCAAATCCAAGTATGTCCAAAAATTCTTCTCCTTTTTATATATATTTATAGCAATCAAACAGATAGAATGCCACTGAAGTATTATTTTTTGACAGATCAAATTTTTATGATTGAGCATATTGGTTAAATAAGTTGTGACATTCCTTTCCAAAGTACCAAAAAAAAAAAAAACAGGTCACATATAATTTTTTTTTTGGGTGCAAATATCTAAGATGTCCTACAAAATTATAATTAGGGCAAAAAGATGAGACTCTTTTGTCCGTATTTATTTAAGGATTTCAAATAAGCTAAAAAAATTTTTAATAAAATTTCACTTTTTTTGGCCAAATAGCTGAAAAAATTAAATAAATTATAATCTAAAACTATAACCAAACACCATTAATTAATTTTTTTTGGTCAAATAAATTAACTTACAAAGCAAGACCATAATCCAGACACAATCATCTGATGATGGATAATCCTATGTTTTAAAATAAAATGAAATAAAAGGTTGTCTAAGTATAGAGCTAGAGAGCAAAGCTTCTCTTTTTAGGAGATTTTCAGCGGTGATCTAGCAATATTCCAATGGCACTCCGATAATTCCCTTTACACTTCCAAAGTATATTTTACACTATAGATTTTCGACACCAACAATGATTTCATTCTCTCTCAAGCCTTCTCCCATATCATTGTGGGTGTATTTCCTTCTCATTTATGACATCTAGCTGTGCCTGAAATTCAATGGCGACAGGCTTTCCAAATCACGTCTTTGAAAAGATCGGTGATCTTCCTTGGATCATAGCTATTTTTTTTTTTTTTTTTGGTTAGAATGACCTTTTGGGGTCTTATTTGTATATGTTGTTAATATAAATATTTCTCATATTCTAAAATAAAAATAAAAAAGGTTATATTTTGTTTTGCTCTCTACGTGGTATGGCACCCTACATTGCAATTGTACTTTTGTGAATGATTAAGGTTTGGTTTCGAAATAGGTTATTTTAGTAATTTTTTAAATTCTTTTAGTTAAAATATAAGATGAAAAAAGTAATTTTTAATTTAAGATTGAAAAATTTACCCATAAATCCTATTTTGTGAAAAATTGAACCATTTAGTCCTAAGTTTTTTTATGCACCATTTAGTCCCCTTTTATTTGGTAATGTTGCTTAGTTAATTTTGGGTATTTTGTAGTTTACAATAATACCCTTTGTGGGATTCTTTTTTCCTAAATTGGGTGGGGAGGGGGGGGTTCGGTGTGTTGGTTGGGGGATTTGGTAATGTTAACGTGTGCAAGGGTTTTGTTTCACGTTCGGAGGGGAGTGGTGGATGTTCATTGGGTTGTTCCATTGGTTCAAAGTTTCAACTAATTTTTTCAGTCACCCTCATTGTACTGCAACAGGTGAGTAGTTTTCTAGTGTGTTTTTGCATGTGTATATGTCATTGCCCATGTGTATATGTCGTTTTCTGGTTGTCTCGTTGTATTTTTGATTGGTGTGTTTGTGTGGTTATTTTCTGTGTTGTTCAACTGATCACATGGCTTCATTGTGGGTAATGGTAACATCCACGTATGCACTGCTGTGTTGATTTGGTTAGTTTCAGTGCAATGTTGTTGATGTTATTTGGTTTTCAATTTTTTTATTTGGGTGCTTTCACTGCCAATGTTTGTTGTTTTTTGAATTTTTGAATTGTTTCAATGTGTATGGTATTTTTTAGGGGGGTGAAGTATGGGTGTGTTGTATATCTCATGGATGTTACAGGCTAATTTAGTACACTATTTTGCAAAATCAACAGCGAATCGTTGCTGTGTAATGTCAAATGTCATTTTTTTATTCATTCATTGTCGTGTATGCATTATCGGCCTAATGGTTCAATTATGGGTTACATGACAAGTATGGATGATGTGCTGTTGTTGTTGTGCACTTATGGGCAAACAAATGTTGTTTGGTTGCATCATGTGATGACATTCGCACAATTGGTCAATGATATTTGTGGGAAGCTCAACAACTTGGTACAGGATGCGGTGTATATGTTGTGGGATGTCCCCGGGTATAAGAAGTTTAAGGTTGACAGTGATGACGATATCTGAAACTTGTTGTGCCTTGCGAAGTCATTTGGGTTGAACCATTTCGATGTTTTTATTCAGATCCGGAAAGCTTCGGTGGGTGGTAATTATAGGGGTGCATATTGCAATGAAGATGAGAATTCGAATATTGAGATGGACGATTAGACGGATCTGTTACCAACATATTGCCCTAATAAATCAAAGACGTTCTTGTCTGCTCAATGGGCATTCGGGATTACCCATGTTGGACAATGTTTCGTCGGTGGTGCTAATGAATTTCGGGAAATATTATGCAAGTATGCCGTGGAACACGGGTTTCAATTCAAGTATGTGAAAAATGATTCAATTCGCATTACAGTAGTGTGTAAGTTTGCAGAGTCCACAACATGCACATGGTCGGTGCATGCGACGGTGTTGCCATCAAATGGGATTTTATGTGTTAAGAAGTTGGATAGTGTACACAATTATGGAGCTGTTGTACAAACACATAGAAACCCATGTACGGGGTCCGATTTGGTTTCAAGTGTTGTCGCAGATCAAGTGCATGATCAGCCATTGACGCGTCCTATGGACATTGTGTTTGATTTGAAAAATGACTATAGGTTAGATATTAGTTACGGGGTTACATGGTTAGGGGTTGAGAAAGCGATGAGTGAAGTCTATGAAGATCACGCTATGTCGTTCGACCAACTGAGGTGGTATAGTGATTCCGTTTTGGAAAAGAACCCAAACAGTTATATTAACCTTGAATTTCACCAACAAACTAGGAGGTTCGTTCGGTATTTTATATCATTCTGTGCATGTATAGATGGGTTCAATCATTGTCGGCCGTTACTTTTTTTTGGATGGGACGTTTTGGAAAGGCAGATTCAAGGGGAATTTGTTAGCTGTTACTGCAAAGGACGGCAATAAAGGTGACGTATCAAAATTTTTTCCTTATTTTGTAATCGAAAAATAATTTAACATTTCCGTTCCGATTCTATTTTATGAATCCTTTATACATATATGTACTGCACGTAGGATTTCAAATGCGCTAACATTTTGCATTCCCATGATGTGTACTCCAAATATGGTTGGTCCACTATTTTTTACAAGGTTGTTTCCGGTGGCCTTCGTAATTGTTGACTCTGAAAATCAACAAAATTGGGAGTGGTTTTTACAGAATCTTAAAGAAGTCGTGGGTGACAGGCGTACGTTAACGTTCGTATCTGATCGTCACGTAGGTCTTTTGCAATCTATGCCAATTATTTTCCCTTCGGCACATTATGCATTTTGCTTGCTACATCTTCAAATGAATTTGAGAGACCGAATGAAATATGTTAACGTATCGCACAAAGTTAGGTTGATGCGCAAGCTTCGAGAATGTGCTTATGCGCCTACTATACCATGTTTTAATCAGAAAATAGAGGTGTTAAAGGAGTCTAGCCCAGCTGTGATTGAAACTTTTTGAAAGACTTGCATCCATCCCACTGGGCTAACGTGTACTTCATGTAAGTTTGATTGTACCTGATCCGCGTAGTAGTTTAATGGGTTCATTTTTTTCGATTCATTTTATACATTAAAATGCTAGCAGTTGGATTTTTTTTTGGAATTTGGGGTGAATTTTCCTATACCTTTTAGGGGGCAACGTTACGGTGAGATGTGGTTGAGAGCAGCTGAATCGTTTAACAACTGGATACGGGAGGCCCGTCATCTTCCAATTACTAGGTTGGTCGATATGGTTAGGGGTCAAATAATGGAACAAATGGCGAAGCGTAGAGTCAAGTCAAGGAAATGGACCGGCGTATTATACCCGAAAATAGAGAAAAAATTGGTCACGGCGTATAATGACAGTAGGGCTTGGAGTGTTAGCCAAGCTAATGACAATGTTTACGAGGTGCACTCTCAACCATCTATTTTGGTTGTTGTGACAAGGCGATCATATTCACGTTTCCAGTGGCAGCTGAATGGGTTCCCGTGTTTCCATGCTGTTATCACTTTTTGTAATAGTGGACAGAATATATACGATTCTATTGAAAGGTACTATCATATTGACGAATTCCAACCTTCATATAGCAGAACAATATATCCAATTCCAACTATTGAGAAGTTGGCCTTTTTGCCCAATGATTTTATGATTGCACCGCTAAAGGTGAAGCGTCCGCTTGGCAAGCCCAAACGTAAGCGAATTCTATCGAAGGGTGAGGTTGTGCAACGGATTCGTTGTGGTCAATGTGGAAAAATTGGCAACCACAATAGGAAGACATGTAAGGAACCGATTTAGTCATGTTATAACATGTTTATTTTCTGTTCAGATTGTGGGTTCGTTCCCAATTCATTGCAACTTCATACAATTTTTCTTTCACAATATTTTTTACCATCGATTTAAACGCAGACATCATAATGCTTTTATGACGTGATAAATAAATATGATGTGGAATGTGAGTTTGTTTTCACATTTTATCATATTGTCTCAAATGCATGGTGCCCTACCACCTCTCATTATATTTAACGGTTGCATTAACCCTTTCACAAAAACATTGCTCAGTTTCACAAATACAAGTGCTCGTAATTTTGTCACCCCACACTGATTGAAGTAACATAACCCACATTAGCCACACCATTTTTGTTGCTTACTAATAGTTTGGATGTGTGATGTGTGTGTGATGTTACACGCAATTTTAATGCATTAATATCAAGTACAAATTTTTTTGGTTGTTTGTGGTGCATTTGAGATCACATGGTATGTACATGTATTATACAGTGTAATACTCCCACAACCGATAACACCATCATCAAAGTAACAATTTCAATGTTTTTGAAATAAATTTTGCCAACACAAATTTCTACACATTTGAAAACACAAACCTGACAATTTCAGATTAACATCCTACATTATAATTTCAGAGTTCACCACCATCCCCTTTCTAACCACAATGCCCACAATGCGAAACTCATGAACACAATAATACGTACGCTTGAATGATCATACATTACGTTATGCACATATACAATTAAGAAACACAATATGAACGATGCTACTT